TTATTCGATCGACGGCCCGTACCATTTCTCTCATGAACCACCTGAGTTCTTTGGCTCCCGTGTCCTGTACGGGGCTGCCAGGACCTGGTTGGCCTTCATTGGTGGCACTATTCTCGCTGTTGGTATCAACATCCTGAGTCACCAGGGTCGAACCTTCCGGGTTGAGTGTATTGGCCCACTCGTTGCCTCCCTCCTGTTCCTTCGACGATGGGCGTAATTCCTTCAATGCGTCGTTACGTGCAAATGAGAGTGACGACATAAGTTCCTCGTTCACTCTTCCATCGCCTCCACCTCCTCCCTGGTAATGTTGTAGCCCAGGCTCCTAATTGACATGAGCCTATCTAGTTGGTCTCTGGAGAGCCCACTGAGTTTCAAGTCCCCTGTAACCCGGGGTTCCTGTCCCTTGCGTACTTTTTTTTGTGTGCAAAATTCACATACACCGCTTTAGAAGCCATGATATAGAACCTTAACTTTGCACAAGTTACCAAACTCTATGGGTCACTACACAACCCGGCACCCAACAACCTGGTGGGTAACTATAAGAGGCACCGTGAAATGTCACAAGGGTACACAAGGGGTCACTACCCCCCGGTAGCGGTTGGGAATTTCAATGCGTCTATCCCTCCCGTGAAGCGGTCGGAATAATAAGTGGAAGTCACTATCCCACTACGAAGTCAAATAAGTTCCCCATCACTTACCGTGACACTTTTTTCCCCAAGAAGAAATTCCATGAATAATCCTCCAAAGAAATACACAATCTCCACGAATCATATCACACACGAATATATCCACGAGTAATCTCTGTCCGCGGCAGTACATCGTCCTTCATGCACAAAGTTCCCTGCGTATTTTCCACACTGTCTAATGTCAACACAGTATCCAGAAGTAAACACCGGAATTTCCTCCGGACCATGCACAGTCAGAACCCCCAAGGGGTACAGTGCATAACATGGAAAATACACAAAAACATACGAAATACCTCAACTTCCGCCAACTAGCCCCAAATATCCCGAAATAAACTCTATCTAGGATGTCAACATCGGCTGGCCCTGCCGCCCCACTGCAGAACCGTGCCGAGTAAGGTGGAATACCCGTAGGTCCCCCCTCCCCCCAGCCCGCGTGCTCCCCCACGCGGGTAGCCTAAATAGCTTTAAAAACCCCAGTGAGGCTACTTCCTGTAAGGTACCTAATCCTCCCCTCTCCTATATAAGTACGGAGATACTAACACTTATAACACTAACACAAGTGCTTAAGCCCTGCCACACTACACTCCAGACGGACATCATGCGGTCTCCCAAGCGCGGGAAAACACAAAACTGCTGGGCTATTACCCGAGATAAGAAAATGTATATTCACAGCGCCACTGTAGTGATCACCACCTTCACTACGATATCGGATCACTATGGAGTAAGCCGCGGTTTGCACTTTGTAAGTATTTAGGCCCAAATCTACAATCTTAGGTAGACCCCTGAATCAGGCAATGTATGCTTACAAAATGGCTTCCACGAACTCTCTGTGGTGATCGGCTGTCTCCGGCACTTTCCGTCTCGGGTCATGGCCTTCAACTTCAGTTGACGACCCCGATCACCACATACCGTTGATTTTTATGACCGGCGAGTGATGGTCATGATTTCGTGCCTGCACCCAGGCATGCGACGAAAGAGTGACAGTGCTTCTTTAATAATGTGTCCATTTATATAGCGCCAAACTCCACACCAGGTATGCTCATAGCGCTAACAATAGTGCTTTGTGTACATGCGACTAACTTGGGATTTCTTGGAACATTGTTCTCTTAATTTGGAACGTCGCCACGCTTTTTTCAAAGTATACGAACGTAGCAGTGACTATGGTGTACTACAATTGCCATCGTGTGGCGCGTAAAAAAAAGAACTACGTCGCATAAAAAAGACTACGTCATCCACGACGTCGTGCAGAAATACACAAGAATGATCTACGAGGGGAAAAAAAAAATCGACGTCGAGGCCGACGTCTCCTACGACCATAAGTTACAGCCTTGGTGGGAAGGTGTCAGAGAGCGGATTGCTCTTGGTTCAATTTTTGACATTTTGAACGATGCAACGGGACATGCCATAGTTTAACATGGACATCCATTTCAACCGCAATACACAGACACCAAGCCAACCCGTCATCTTCCCCTAAATACCGTTGTCAGGCACGGTAACAACAAGTACACTATTTTACGTCTTTTGTTGGGTTAAGTTAAATAAAACTCTCGCTTGGTTTTTGTTGAAGTCAGCAAGCGATAGTTCTAGCACCAAGCAGCGCAATTTGTATTATCAGCTATCTAAGAAAGTATTTGTTTTGAAATATCATTAAGTTTTGAACTTGACAATGCTTTCTTCATTAACTTCAATATCATGCTACACCAACAGTGTACTTATGTGAATCTATTATGCTTCAGATACGAGGTTCTTCAGCGTGGTGATGTCGAGAAGCTGATAAAGAAGAGGAAAAATCCAGACGAGCCACCTATCTACTTCGCCACATTGGAATAGACTAATGACATTATCAAGAGGCAGAGATCGTATGCTGAAGAAACTGTCCAATAGGTACGCTAACGTCACCACCAATGCTGTGGAGACGTACAAGTCATTTTGCGTTGAGTGCCAGCGCAAATCAGCCAGTCGCGACAGGTGTGGTTGTAAAACCTATGGTCAGCGAAGAATTCACTTCAAGAGGACAAGATCGTGCAAGTGGATCATGGTCTACCAGGATCACCTCACCAAGTCTTGTGTTCTTCGGGCGATCACATCCAAGAGAGCTGCAGAAGTTAGGAGCGCCTGCCATACTGCAGTGATAACGGCAGTGAGTTCACCCTTCATGTCATTACAGAATTAAAGGACCGCCTCCGTGGTGTAGTGGTTAGAGCGTCTGCCCGGAGAGCGGAAGGTCGCGGGTTCGATCCCCGACCGCGTCATACCAAAAGACGTTAAAATATGGTACTTGTTGGTCCCTGCCTGGCGCTCGGCATTAATGGGTACAACAAGGACTAGTCGGCTCGGAGTCAGTATAATGTGTCTGAGTGGGGTATTGATGCTTCACTGCGGCATGGTATCTCAGTGGGCTAGCACTATAAAACCAGCTTAAGTCTGGGCTAGTACAAGCAGCCGCACATACACATACACACGCATGCACATCGTCATATGAGTGAAATATTCTCAAGCACGACGTTCAACCCAATATCACCTCACCTCACCTCACAGAATTAAAGAGCAACAGCAATAGCCGGTGTCACAACAGTCTATTTTGTCCCAATACATGTTTGTTATTAGCAAATACTCTGTTCCCGCATTATAAATTTGGTGTTCTTTATTTCAATAATGGCTGACAGGGGTTTCAAGAAATCCCTGAGCCAATATTTCATGAAATCCATTGAAATTTTAGGGAGTACATGAAATCCCTAAGGGTCACAGGTACTATTTTAGGGATTACGTGAAATCCCTGGTTTCAAACATTCCCTGTAACTTATATATGTTACAGGGAATTTGTGAAACCAGGGATTTCACGTAATCCCTGAAAGATTCAGTGATTTCGCGAAATCACTGTGACCCCCAGGGATTTCATGTATTCCCTAAAATTTCCAGGGATATCATGAAATTACTGATTTTATTGGTGTTCGATTACACACATTCCCTGTTAGGATATCAGTGAATGTGTGAAATTAATGTTTGTAGCTTAAAACTTTACTGTTGAGTCTCATTTCATCCCTTAGTTCTTTGGAGTTGAAACTTCTGACAATTAACCGATGACACTTTTGGCTAATTACTACCTAGAGTCGGGATACCAAGTTAATTTTCTCACGGCTTTACTGTTTAGTCTCATTTCATCCCTTAGGTCTTAGGAGTTGAAAACTTTGACTATTTACTAATGACACTAAGTCAAGCAAAGAGAGGGAAATTACCGGGTTTCGATAATATTCCAGTTGATGTTTTGACAGATGATATCTGTATAGATTATCTTCATAAACTGTTTTCTACATGGTCATGTACCCTCCAACTGGGCCCAGGGGATCATTACCCCTGAGAGACCCAATGTCTTATCGCGGCATCACACTAGTGCATCTTATTGTTCTAAGCGGTAGCGCCGCTTAGAATCGAAACTGTAAAGATTTTATTGAAGATGAGTGTCATGTTTTATTGCCTTGTCCTTTGTATGCTGATGAGCGATTGCAACTTTTATCTAAATGTACAAGTCTTTTAGATGTTTTTTTTTGAAAATCTGGGTATGTTGAAAATTTAGTTTTCTTCTAGCTTGTCCAGGTGTATCGTTTTTATCTGCCCAAACCTGCCTTAATATTCATAAAAAGCGTACTGCAAATTTGTATATATCTTCTCAATGTAACTTGTTCCCTTATTATTGCATATTTAATATTCATATATTACACTCTGTATATTGTGGCACAGGTGTCTCTCATAATTCCGTACGGAATGGCTCAACATTTTACTGTGATATAGCATTTAAAAAAATAGCTAGGTTTTTCAAACATTTTGTTTTCTTTATTGAAAATAGACGTTTAAGTTTCAACAGACTAGGCCATTCATAGAAATAACTTGGAATATACATCATCCCGCTGTTGAAGAAGAGCTTTGGGATATGGGTTTGGATAGAAAAGGTATTTTTCAAACCATATATTTCATGTTTGTCCTAAGCGTCTTCTTTCTATGAATGATGTGACAATGGACAAAGAACTGTTTCGCCACACAGCTGTGATTTTCGAGTCGAATTGTGGTGGTCAGGGTTTCCAGAAATGTAACTGTTGTCTTAACCAGTGTAAATCAATACGTTGTAAATGTTTTAAAGTGCTACTGAAGTGTAATAGCTTGTATGATAACACTCTATCTTGTCCCAACAAATGAATTTTATCAGGAAATACTCTGTACTCGCATTTTAAATTTGGTGTTCTCTATTTCAATAAGGGCTTACAGGGATTTCATGAAATCACTGAGCTAATATTTCAGTAATTTCATGAAATCCCAGGAAAATTTTAGGGAATACAATGAAATCCTACACATTCCCTGTAACTTATATATACTGTGAAATTGTATATCGATCACCCGTGTGACATGACCCGTTATTCATTGAAATCCGAAATCCGAGTTGCAGCTGATGCAGGATGATGGGCGTCTGGCAGCTGTCTGGGTTGTATATATTGCAAAAATGATAAATATGTTCACGTTAAGCGATAACTTTGTCTTTTGATCTCATAATGGCTGAAAGTAGCCAAACAATGAGTACCCATCGACTGTCAAGTGGTCCATTGTTGTCTGACAACGTGCGATTCATGATTTGACGTGGCCCATGGAGAGTGGGGATGTTTGACGCTTCTTTCTCTCCAGATGAATGAATGACGTGTAGATAGGGTTAGCTGTGATGTTACCCCGGCTTGTGAGAGTGATGCAGACGAGGCACGTAGCAGGAGTGTTGCTAGCTGTCTCTTTGACAGCGATCTTTGGTTGTCTTCACTTGCTGAGTGAAGTGGCTCGCCTTGATGATGCAAGGGTCAGATTAGGTGAGTGAACATTTTGTGTTTTAAGAATAGAACACATTTATGCCAAGGACACACTTGCATATCGAACTTCCACATTGCAGTTTTACTTCATGACACCTTCAGTTCTTCTGTCATATCACCATACAAAGACAGTGGTCGAACTTTTGTACCTACCGATGACACGACGTGATCCCCAAGTGCATTATGTGTTCTGGGACACTACATGCGTCAGTTGAAAATCATGCTGTTTAATTACATACAGGTATTTCATGCGGGATGCGTTTGGTTATGATGTTTTAAGACAAAACAAACTTTTTTGCAAAATCCTCCCTGTAACAATACATTGCTGCATCAAATGCCGTCTTCGTTATGCGCTTAAATTTAGAGAGCATATTTGCAATATCTCCACCAACTTCCTTCGGGAATTGAACTATTGCTGTGCTTCTCATAACCTATTATATTAAACTGTTATTTCCTTTAATTAATCCCATTATCTTTAATCCAAATTTGATAGATTGAGTTAATCAGTTTTGTAGCTTACGCACTTTGAAAGGTTTATACCAAGCCGTTTTGAAGACAGAATTAGTGATTAAATTATTTATCTTTTGAGCTTAGAAGACAACCAAGTTAATCTCACTTCTCTCCTTACACTTAGTTACCTGGCTGCCATGTCACACAAGATCTGTAGATATTTGTGGTAAACACTAGTAATTCAGTCTAGATGGTATTTTATTAACCTCCACCCAGTTCAAGTGATCGTGGGTTACTATCCTGGCTGTAGGAGTGAGTGAGTGAGTTTTACGCCACTTTTGCAATATTCCAGAAAGATCACGGTGGTACCAGAAATGTGCTTCACACATTGTACCCATTTGGGGAATCGAACGAGCGACCGTTTTAACCACTAGGCTACCCCACCGCCACTGACTAGAGGAAGACCAGTTGACTTGTCAAGAAGAGCTGAAACTGTAGCTTAAAGCCCATGTATCGCTGGAATCATTCAGCATAAGTAGTTCTTATCCTGAGATTCACAGCTACTCAAACTAAAATATACATCCTAATTGAAAATGTTTCCTTTCCAGAGACAGCAGTCATCCGATTACAGAAGGACCAGGTGGATATTTATACGTATAACGTAGGTCATAATTTAGATGTGCATATTTGGTAGCAAAGTTGATTTATCACAGTTGGATTTAATTTATCAATGAACATTAAAAGGGTTTCATTCATATATCTGAATTAGGCATCGTAAGAAATATGTATTTCAAATATCAAGCTTAAAAGCATAAATCAATTGACATTTGGATTTTGTACTGCAAGACTGCATAAGGGCATGTGTTATTGTGTTGCTGCGGAGTTGCCAGTATTGATATGCTTAAACATTGGTTTCCAGGAAGTAGAGGACAATGATGGTCTGGTCGTTATATACAATAAGGTTCCAAAGACTGGCAGCACAACACTCGCAGGCATGGCATACGAGTTGTGCCAGGAAAACAGATTCAACGTGATTATGATAGATACAAAGGGACGCTCAAAAACAGTATTCTTGTCAGATCAGGTAAATATAAAACATTGTAAACTCGACGAAACTTTCCACATCAACAAAAGAAACCTCTGACATGAAAAGCACCGCAAAATTGATTTACGATTTCGACTGCATCATGAGCGAGTGTATATGAATGATACCGAATGTTTGCGGAAAGTGTAGCATGTTTGGAAATTCCCTGTCCCTTGGCCAGTGGCAGTCTGCCCGTTTGCGCTTAGAAATAGAAGCCAATAAAAGACGCCATTTCCGGAATCCAGTAGTTACGAAGTAGCTTAGTCCCTCTGGCAGTCTTAATAAATAGAAGCAACAAAACCCTTTCCACATCGTTGAGAAATTTCTGCTGAAAGCTGAGTTGATTGTACAATTCTGACTCAGTCTAAGTAAACCTAGGCTCAGTATTATTCGTTACACTGCTACACTGTCTAACAAATCCTAGAAGAAGGTCGCGTTAGCTAACCTTTGAGCGACCTATGACCTTCCAATCAAACGTGAGACCGCCGAACGGATTTAACCAATCAAACAACGACTACTTGTTAGGGTTCGGCGGGACTTACAAAACGGCTTTTGGATTTTCTCTTCTCTGGTCGCTGACACTGATCTATCAACAAACGATAATCCGCATAAAACACAGATATTTGGCCTGCAGTATATACGCTTATGGGTTTCTAATGACATGGTTACTATTTGCTTATATTTTCGCAAGATGACAACCTTATATATTGACAAAAACCCTATTTTCAGCGACTGTTTACTCATTGCGTGTATCACTCGGAAGCGATAGTGCGAAAAATACCATTCGGAATCGTACGAGTTTTTGAACTAAAGGTTCAAACGGTATGTGCGAATGTTAACTCCCGCAACTTGGTAAGCTGTGTTCCAGATGGTCAGTCCAAAAGGTTAGCTGACGCGACCTAATACTAGAGTGTTAAACCAGTATAGCAGGGTACTGAATAATACTGACTAATTATTGACTGAATCTTACTATATATTATAGGACATATCCACGCAACAAGTACAAGCTCAAGGCGCTATATCACTAGTAGGTATTTGTTTCAGAGTACATGTCCATGTAGTTTGTAAACAGTCGAGTCTGGACTAGCCTATCCAGTGATTGACACCATGCAAAGGCTAGTCAGTTGTTTCCTAGAAAAGCAATGGAAGGTATGGTACAATATAAAATATGGAATTGCACAGGACATAATGTTTGTCAATGATGTGTTAAATTGTGGCATGTTCTCTCTCATGTCTACCATAAAACATTTTAATGTCTTGACTGTTGTCACCTTCTGTACAAGAGTCATATGATGACAGCTGATTGCTGTGGGTAGCTATTTTCAGATGGGTAAACTATCTACAGGCCTAGATCGTAAACCAGGGAATAGATAGATATTAGCGAAGAGAGCTTAGACTGACTGACTGATAATGGTTTAACGCCGCTTTTAGCAATATTCCAGCAACATCACGGCGGGGACACCAGCGTTCAAGATTGTACCCATGTGGGGATTCGAAGACCCAGGCGTGATAACGCTTTAACCACTCATTACCCCACCGCCCCAAGACTGTTAGAAAATCTGACCAACAGTTTACTTTGTTCCATACTTCCATGTGTGGACATTGCGTTCCTTCCACACACCGTCATGCATTGATAGAGTGAGTGAGTATGATTTTACGCCGCTTTTAGCAATATTCCAGCAATATTACCGCGGGGGACACCAGAAATGGGGATTCACACGTTTTGCTCATGTGGGGAATCGAACCCGGGTCTTCAGCGTGACGAGCGGACGCTTTAACCTTTAGGCTACCCCACCGTCCCCCTGTATTAACAGAACGAATTGTGTGAGATCTTCATCCAGATATTTTGTTAAAAGTATTTTACAACATCAGTTCACAAAACATTAGTCGGGGGCGGTGGGGAAGCCTAGTGGTTAGAGCGTTCACTCGTCACGCCGAAGACCCGGGTTCGAATCCCAACATGGGTACATTGTGTGAAGCCCATTTCTGGTGATTTCCGTGATGTTGCTGGAATATTGCTAAAAGCGGCGTTAAACCAAACTCAGTCAGTCAGTCAGTCAGTCAGTGTTCCCCTAAGCACTTTTTGTCTAGAATACCCCATGTTCTTCAAATAATGTTTAAGGTTTTATATATTCTATACTAATCTAAGGTAACAATAAACTTTAACTTTCCCTTCACATCCAGCAAAATTCCAATAGCCCCAGCCTTTGGTGCTTACATTTCACAACATTAAATGTACCATCGAAGATTTCAAAGAGCGTCACATGACTCTCCCTTAGAAGCTGTTCGATCAAGGTTGTAACAATCAAAGCCTAAAGCTTTCAAAAACAATTATGGCCGACATTTACAATTTTGGCGCGTCAGCGACAGAATGATGTCCGATGCAATACCTTGTTTTGACTTATACCACACGTTTCCCTGTTGTTGGTTTTTAGGGAGTTTTGTATGCAGAAAAGCATAGTATTACTTTTCTCATTGTTATTCTAGATGACCTACACGAAATGATGTTTTCTCCAGATGCGGTTCATCACTAACATCACCAGCTGGACAGAGAAGAAGCCTGCGCTGTATCATGGTCACGTAGCCTTTATTGATTTCTCAAGGTAAGGATGTTTGTTGCCTCACCATACGAAGAGACCGTATTTCCACAGTTTGTACATGCATGGAAATGACCGTCCAATCCGACGTTCACGTTACAGTCGTTTGAAATGTACGCACCGTTTGGCTGCAAATATGCATATATTGCGCAGGTCATGACAAATGAGGTTCAAGTGAACACATAGAGCCCAGCATCCTGACGTTGGCCCAACCTTGGATGCCAACGGTGGGCCAACAGTAATCGTGACCGTCGGGAAGCAGAAGCAGCAAAAAAAAACGTCAGTTTGGAATTTTCCGTCGCAGAAACGGATAACTGTAAACACATTTAATGTTTTGATTGTATATTTTTGACAACATCTCCAACTTTACCTGAGCAAAGACATTCCTTCACAAACTCAGAATGGAACCTAGGAAACAAACACGCAACCTGATCTCGGAGATGGTACGGTGTTCTCCATGTCTGTCATGCACCTCATGCTGCACGTGCTGTTCACAAGGACCAGCCCTATTAAATGCACCCCCAAACCTGGTTGAATCATTCACGTTACAACGTCAGCAGGATGCCGCGACTTACGACAGCTCAGAGGAACCAGGCGCTAGGAAGACTTTAAGCTCGCCACACTGCACAGGCCGTTGCCAATCACTTCCAGGTCAACGTTCGGACCATCTACAGGCTGCAGCAACGTTTCCGGGTCCCCGACACCACAAATGATCGCGTCCGTACTGGCAGACCAAGGGTGACCACAAGACGACCAGACCGCCATGTTGTGCGACAGCATGTACAGAATCCCTTCATGCAGGCATCCGAAACAGCACG